AGTCTTCCTCCTGCCCCATTACCAGGCTGCCACTCACCAACAAGACAGGCGAAGCCGTAACCTATAATAGAACTAGCTTTCTTCCAACGATCCTAGTGCCTTTTGGTTTTGGCCTGGCTCGGAAAACCACAAGAATAGCCTGGCATGTGGAGTTCTGGCTCAGCCCTGTAAACTCAAGAGGCACAGGAGAGCCATTCTCAAGTGCTCAACCTCCTTCAAACTTCCAGTGAGGTTGAGCTTGGTGGGAGGGATGAGGGAGGACAGGCCAAGGCCTGAGTCCCATCCAGTCACTCATATCTAGCAGCAAGCGGCTGAGCCAAACTTCGCTTGGCAGCGGCAAACAATGTTCGTGTCCAGGAAAAATCAGATCACATGATAAAACTTGGAATTTATGAGAGGCTATGTTCAATCGAATAACTAAAAGCTATAAATTTATTTCATACCTTTGGGCTGACAGAATGGTTGAGAGTCAAACAAAAGTATCTTAGATTCTACTTTTCCCATCTTTGGGTGAAGACCCAGAAACATCTAATCAATGGAAATTACCCAACAAAGAGAAAACAAGGTTGTTTCCCCAGTTGGGAAAGAACTTTATATAATATGGAGTAACTGTACACCCTGGGAAAAAGTCCCCTAAATGCAATATGCTCTCCCTTACTAGACAGCACAGTCATCTAAAGAGCTCAAATAAAGCACTAGCTAGTGGAGGCTCTGGAAAAATGGATGCAGAAATCATGTGAAACTGGGTTACCAAGGTTGAGTTGAGATTATTCCCAACAACTTTATGGGGCAACCTCACACCAACCACTTTTCCATTCTAAGCAGCAGAAACTCCTGTGCCTAAGCTTCAGTGCATTCTCTCAGTATCTGAATCATGGAACGGGAGAGCATCAGAATAACTCATCACAAGAAAAGGAATCCGCCCACACACTGTTTCCTCATTAAATTGTCCAGGGTTTACACGGACCATCCACACACTCAGTAATGAGTGGAACTTGACTCCTGGATTATACACAGAACTAAAGATGGCATTGGATCTGAGCTGCAGAAATAGACTGCAGGAGAAAAGTGGCACTGTGTGCCTGGGGGCAAGGCATCTTCAAGTGAGTAAATACCCTGGGGTAAGGGTGAACTGGCTGGTTTCTTGACTGGTTGACTGGATGTCTGGTTGGTTGACTGGCTGGTTGCTTGATTGCTTGGTTAGTTGGCTGGCTGGTTGTTTAGTTGATCAACTGGTGGATTGGCTGGTTGGTTGGTTGGTTAGTTGGCTGACTCACTGGTTGGTCAACTGGCAGGTTAGTTAGTTAGTTAGTTAGTTGTTTGGTAAATTAATGGGTGGGTGGGTGGGTTGTGTGGTTGTTTGGTTGATTAGTTGGTTGACTGCTTGGTTGATTGGTTGGTTGGTTATCAGTTGGTGGGTTGACTGGTTGGTGGCTGGTTGGCTTGCTGATTTGCACATTTGTTCTGATACAAGATTTCAGTAAGTAGCCAAAGTTACCTCTGAATTCACTATGGAATTCAGCCTGTCCTGGAACTCAACAATTGTCCTACCTTAGCTTCCTGAGTGCTCCTGCACCTAGCCAAAAAATGAGTTTCTTAAATATATGCTTCTTGGCCAAGTGTATGTCAACAATAAATTGGGGAAGGAAAAGGTACCCAATACTGGAGACATAAAGATTTCCCCCTGATGTTTGGCCAGCATCCAATTTTTTCAATTCATAAAAATCAAAAATGATACAGAAAATGTCAAGCTACTCACAAATAAACCAAATAAATAAATAAATAACACACCTTTGCAGTTTTAACTTGTTAAGCATCATCTATGAAGAAATACAAAACCAGACTCTACCCAGTATTTTAACTCATCAAGTGGGTAAAAATTCAAGGTTTTAACACTTCTGTCTAACATGATCTGAAAAAAATGACTAAACATTTCAATTAAAAAAAAATTTGTTTGGGTAGGATGCAAACCACTGAGATATCCCACCATCCCCTAAATCGTTTATACAATAGCAAAAGAGTGTAATTTAATTCCAAAATTAAACAAGGTGAGCTAGACAAGAAAACAACTTATAAATGCTTCTACAGAATAAAATTCTAAGTCCATATTTAAGAACAGCGAAAGAAAAGTCTTCTACTAGAAAAATCACTAATCTTTAAGTAAATACTATGCTAGGTTCAAGTTTAAAAATGTGGGAAAGTGTAGAACTACAATAGAAATAAATAAACTCTATACAGTAGCAATACAAAAAATTTTAAGCAGAAAACCATGTTCAGATCTTACTTGTGCCGAGCTGGAATTTTTTAATGAACCAAGCTTCAAGTGAGATAAAATAAAAGCAGCATGTTTGACTTCAGTGTCTTGAGAACTTCCCCTTGCATTAGAGCAAGCTAGAAGCTGGATTTCAACACAGTGAGTCAACTAAGTACTTCCATGGAAAATTCTTCCCAAAAGTTATTTAGGGCAAAAAGAAAAACCATTTTTGAAAGTGGGGTTAGCATTGAATATTACTTTACCTCAAGCGTGGATGGGCACTGTAGTAGCTGGACTGAGGCATGAGGAGAAGCTTGGTAAAGAGCAACAGGGAGGGGAGGGCCTCTGGGCAGGAGGGGGGCTTCTCTTTAGGGGAGTGAGGACAGACGCCAGGCAGTGCCATCTATGCCACTAAATATGCCAGACTTTTCTCCATGCATGACTTCCCTTGGTTCTCCCCTGGGCTGTTATACCGACCCGCCTCCCTAAAGAGCTCTCTGGGTCCAGAAACACAAGGAGGAAGTTTTGTTAAAAACCATCTTGATGTGAGTCAAAGCCTACTTGCTTAGCTACAACTAAGGCTCAATCTCTTTTTGTTTTTCCTCTTAAACTTTCAAGAACAAGGAACAGTCCTACCTACACTCACTTGATTAATCTTAATACATATAAGATGTTAAGAGCCAGAGGGGACGGGCGACTTAAAGGGAATTGCTTTCCAGACATAACAGTGCAGGAGTAAGAGCTCACAGAGATGTGTGTCGGCATGCACAAGAGCTTCCTAAACTCTGGGCAGACAGAATCCCAGCAGAGAGGATGGGTGGACATGCCATCCCACTAGCTGAGAAGCAGTTAGCATCTGGTAGCTGCTGGGAGTGGGAGGGACTCCTCGATGATGGAGGTCTGGTGGGCCGACCAGGCTCACTCCCAAGACTGAGCCCTCCACACACAGCAAACTCGATGGGGAGAGAAGTGGTAGAGTCTAATGGTAAGGTTAGGTGGGAAGGGAGCAGAATGAAGCTTTAGAGTATGTTGGTGAGACTGTCTTGGAGGGCAGAGCTCACGGAAGCAAGAATCCCACGGCTCTCTGATGTTCCCATCTCAGAGGAAAAGCTGACAACACAGCCTGGCTACACCCGTGTTTACAGTACGTGATGGGAAGACTCTGCAATCCCGGTGTACCTGAGCCGTTTCTCCTCAGTGGACTCGGCTCTCTTGTGCTGGGTGAGGAGTTTACCAAAGTGTCAGCGAGGAGAGAGGATTGTGGGTGGACACACCCACACAGCAGCTCAGGGGAACAAATGGTTGCTATCTGAATAGAGAGACTCATTATTCAGGATATAACAAATTCGTTGTCATTCTGTAGGCCATTTGACTAATTCCCAACTGTTTTCGTCAACTCACAATGGGCACAACTTTGAATTTTAAAGTTCTCCTTGAATGTTAAACCATGACAACAGTAGATAAGCAGATACAACAAGCAGGTCTCAGCCAGCTTCCTTCAAAAATGCCATTTGCGAAGAATATTACAAGAATGTGTATGGTTTATTATCTCATTACCTGCCAGTGTTGAGAATGATACAAACATGTTTGTTGAGGAAGGAGTGCTGTGGGGCTGGAGAGATGGCTGGGCAGTTCAGAGCACTTGCTGCTCCTGCAGAGGACCTGGGTTCAACTCTCAGCTCCCACACACTTGTAACTCCAGTTTTAGGAGATCTGTGGCTATCTTTTGGTAAATTCCATACCAATTTTACTACGTATCACTGGTATGACATGACCATAATCTGCTTAACTGTACATGAATCTATTTAGCTAATTTTTAAAAAGTGTATACTTTTTCCAATTTATTTAATATCTTAATATTTTTCTTATAACAGAGGTAAAACCACATCAGCGGCAAAGACAGTAGGCAATTAATTAATTATATAGTATATTTTATAATTATTAGTATAATTATATAGTCTCAGGCATTTTCAGTCTCACAAATATATGATACAATGTTTAGTGTAACTCTGTAATTAGTGAGTACACTCTCAATGGCCATGCACTCCACTAGCGGATTATTCACCAAATGAGGTGTGGCTTAGATCTGACCTGTCCCACAAAGGCTCCTATGTTAAAATCTTGGGTGTGAGCCGGGCGTTGGTGCTGCACACCTTTAATCCCAGCACCCAGGAGGTAGAAGCAGGCGGATCTCTGTGAGTTTGAGACCAGCCTGGTCTACAAGAGCTAGTTCCAGGACAGCCTATAAAGCCACAGACAAACCCTGTCTTGCAAAAAAGAACAAACAAACAACAACAACAAAAAAAAAACCTTGGTGTCAGATGATGAGATCTTCTGGAAAATAACTGCTCATAGTGGATCTAACCTCTCAGTATTTTGGGGAAGCAGGTGGGGGAAGTAGGTCCCTGGGGATATGTCTTTCTAAGACCCCCTCCTTTCCCTCAGCTCCTGGGAGGCCATAAATTGGACATCTCTGCTACACATGGTCCATCATGACACTCAGCTTTATCGCAGGTCCAAAGCAAGGGGTCAACAGACGGAGCGAAAATCTGCAAAACCATGAGCCAAAATCAACCCTTCCTCTAAGACGGTGTGTAGAGCCATTGTCTGTGACAGTGAAGATGGCTGACAAACGCAGAAAGCTATATGAGAGGCCTATGACCTACCTGTGTGTGGTTCTGGATGCCCAGGAGTAAAGCGTTCTTTCCCTGGGGTTTACAGGGTTAGCAGGACCTCCTGAACCTACCTTATACTCATCCACAATAATGCTCAGTGCCTCATGCCCGGCCTTCCTCATGTCTTCCAACTCTTGCTTATGCTTCTCCTGAAAGGGAAAAAAGGGGTTGAATCTACAATGCGTTCTTCAGGTTTGTTCCACAATAGTAATAAACCGATAATGTTTCCTTTTATACCCCGGTGGCAGGCGGAGCACTGAATCCGCGGGTGACGTCGAGAAGAAAATGATTTGTTGGCTCGTTTTGCTAGATAAAAGTTTATCTGGAGCTAGATAAAAGTTTATCTAGAGCATGGGCAAGCCGAGAGGTGGGGAGGCGTTTGTGAAGCAAAGGCGGACGGTTCTCTGTGCGTCTGAAGCCAGACAGGGCTACATAGGGAAAGACAGGCAAGTCAGGGCCAAACAGTGAGATTCTGTCTCAAAAATAAAAACATAAATGTAAGTGTCGGAGTATCACAATTAGTAACCTGTAACACCCATTCTTTAGTTCTTCATGGCCAGAAAGATTCCAGTGTTGAGTGCCACAGAGTCCAGGCTTCTGTATGGTTATCAGAACACAGGCATTCCCCATTCACAGAGTCCCTCAGCCCAACTCCCAAGTCACTGGGCCACCCTTTGTCTCAGAGGCAGAGGTGATGGGGATTTGGAGAATATCCACCGAACAGCGACATCTGTAAATGAGGAGCTGTGTAATCAACAGCATTGTTTCCATAAACGGCATAACACAGTTCACCTAAGGCTCGTTCCTCAATCCCCAAGCTGTGAGTTATCTTCCCTCCACACTCCTTTATGCTTTGCCAACTGCCAAGCCCACTGGAACTGGAATGAATCCCTTCTAATAAATGCACGCAGGCACACCCAGGGCACCCTCTGCCACACAGACGGTGCACAGCCATCCTTTGATTGACAGGTTGGTAAGGACTAAGAAATGAGGACACCGCGAGGGCCAATCAAACACGACATTCCACCCAATTCTCCCGAATTCTCTAGCAGGATTCTGTCTAGAGCTAGCCCACTGGAACCGGATTTGTTGGTGTCGTCTGACTGTGACGCTTTTCCGATGCAGGCCTCGCTCCGCTGGAGAGGGCAGAAGACAGCACATGCTCCTTCAGACGACACAGAAGGAAATGAGTCAGCGAGGGCTCGAAACGAGGGACAGTGAGGCTCAGCCCAAGGCTCTGAGGCGGCTGTCCTGTCGTGCTCCCGGGAAGCACCCAGGCTGGCCTCCTGTAAAGCAGCATGGAGAGCTCATACGTCTCGTGTCATGCACGATCAAACAACACCACTGGCATGATTCTCATTGGCTGTGAACAAGACATTCCTTCAGGGTCTTTGTTTTAGAGACGGGGTCCACCCTCCATAGCCTAGGTTAAGGCAGGACTTACCGCCTGGTCTCCCAGGCTGGTTTCAAACTGACGGGGTTCCTCCTTCTGCCTGGCAAGTGCTGGGACTCAGGCCTGAGCCTCCTTATGACAATGGCGTCGGGTCTGGCTGAGCCCAAAGGCTCCCTACTCCTTGCAGAGAATGTAGGCACCGGCTGTAAGGCAGCTGGCACTTTGGGTATCTTTATATACTTGGTGACAAGTTACAGCATGTGACAGAAAACCTGGGAACCTTTCCACGGGTCTCAGAACCTCATTTTTAGACAAATATTAAATGGAGAGAAATTACAGATTCAAGGATCAGTCTAGAAGTATCAGGCAGAGCTACAAAGAGAACTGAAGACCCTTTGCGAGGCTGTGGCAGCCCTTACGCTTGTGGCCTCAGTGAGACCGTCCCCTCGGCTTATGGTGGCACAGTGGCTGCCTCCACACACTGCCTGCACTCCATCTACAAGCTTCCAAGGGACTGCTCACCAAAAGGAGACTAAAGCAAACTCCTCCCAAACTTTAACAAATGAAAGATGGGGTGGGATAAAGAACCCCAAATCTCCTCACAGAGGCCCAGAAGGAAGCGGCTTGTTTTCCTACATGCTAATTTACAACGGTTTTCATTTAGATATAGCACAACCATCTAAACGAAACTGCAAGGAGTTAATAAGTCAAAAGATGAGGAACGAAAATGAGGACATCCACTCCTGTGGAATTCATTCTGTCTCCTTCTTAAGCACAGAGGCTCATCTGTCCACTTGCAGGCTTTACAGCGTGAACCCCCATGAGGAGCCTATGAAGAACCAAGCCTCCTGGGAAGCCAGTGGGCATCAGAGCAGCACCATTTGGGGGCACTAAATTCTTTAAAGGCAGGTCCTTGAGAAGAAATGCTTAGGGCTAATTCAAGCCCAGCAGAGGGGGTGGAATGAAATCTGAAGTGAGAAAAGGAGGAACAGAGGATGTAGTGGGAAATGGGAGGAAGGGATGAAGAGGGAGGAAAGGGGGATGAGAAGGAGAGACAGAAGGGAAGGCGTGAGCAGTCCTTGTAGGGAGAGATCTCACATACCCTAGGCACTGACCACGCCTGTCTGGGCATGGTCACACGTATGCTGGGGAAGGCAGAAGATAAAGGACAAGGAAGGAGGGGTCACTTTCTCTCTCGGGGCTCCGGTCAAGGTCGGAGACCATTAGAGCGCTGACCTCAATTCTCAGCTTCTCATGTAAATGCTTTCTCCCTAATAAAAGAACATACAGCATCCCTAGCCTGTGTATGGTAATCTTACTTGTTACCTCCCTCCTTGTGCAGGGATGATCCCTCACCTTCAGTCCTCCCACACCAGGGGATCGGAAGGAGGGTTGTGTTCAGCCAACTAACAGCAGAGCCAAGAATCCCCAGGCTCTCGTGGAGGTAAAGTGTCGGTTGTAGAAGTCTGAGACCCAAGTTCAAGCCCCGGGGCCCGTTACCACCTGTTTGTACTGGAGTGTTCCCACAGTCCCAGAGCTTGGGGCTTGCTAGACAATCAGTCCCAAGCTGGGGGGGGAGGGGTGATTTAGGAAGATGTCAGACATCAACCTCTGACCTACACACACATGTGCACACCACACGCAAAGAAAAAAAAACCTGCGTGCATTAACACACCTAAAACCATCATCCCGGTCATTCTGGATACAAACGTCTCTGTAAATGTTGTTTGGCTTCTACATACTCAGTAGATTAATCCCAGTGGCAAAAGCATACTCTCGACAGTTTCTCCAAATAGTGAGGCCTCTGGTCATTATAGAGTAGTTGAGCAAGAAAAATAATCACTTCTTCATGCTCTGGCCAATTGTCTGTATTTGGGTGTTTCTGCCCACAGTATTATGGCTTGGTTCCACTCACTCCAACATGGTAAAATCCCAGCTTTCATACTGTAGTGAATTGAAATGGCCCCACCCCCAAAGACACAGCTCAAGTCATCATTCTTGTATCTTCCGGTGTAGCGATACCTGGACGATGATCAGATGTGGCCATCTTGGAGTTAGTGCGAACCCCAAATCCAGCCGCTGGGACCCTTTCTAGGGGAAGGAAGGAACAGGGGACAGAGACACTGAGAGGCAGTGATGACAGAGTGGAGAGCAGTCAGTCACACCGCGGCAAGTCAACACAGAGCTGAATCCTTACAAGGGAGGCATCAACGAGACTGAATCCACAGGGCAGCTTTAGACGGACGGCAGGGGCGAGGCGTGGGAGAACGGCCAGGCGCAAAAGAGGCCTCCACCGCTCTTGGGAGCTCTGCGTTGTAATAGGGACATTTCCCTAAAGTGACAATGACAAAGTCTAAAGGAGCAGAGACCACCGTTGTGGGAAGGGCCTTGTTTTAAAGTGAAGATGGTTCAACAAGCAGAATAGTGGTGCAAACATGAATGCTGACAGCACTTCTGGGGAGGTCACAGAGGAAAGTGAAGAGCATTATCTTAAAAAATAATAGAGTGGCAGACACTTTACAGGAACTGTAATCTTCTACTACCAGGCAGAAAACTATTTATAAGCAATGTGTTTCCGTGTGTTTGTGTGTGTGTGTGTGTTTCCATATATATATGTATGTATGTTTGTATGTATGTATGCATGCATGCATGCACGCACATATACGTGGAATATATGTACTATATATACAATGCATGTATGTGAAGAAGTGTCTGAGCAAAGGCTTGACAGCACAGCAGCCTGGTTTCTCCTTGCTGTTATTAGTAAAATGCAAGAGGAAGAAGAAAAACTTACTAAACATAATACAAGAACTATATGCTTAGGGAAAACAATGGGTACAGGCAGTACCTTCGGCACTGTGCACAAAAGCAGCCAAATTAAGCAGCCTACTGTGCACTGTGCTCCTGGGTACAGAGAGCATAGGGAAGGAAGGCTGAAGGAGGAGGAGCACAGGTTCAAAGCCAACCTGGGTACAAGCCAGAGACTGTGGGTTCGATCCCTAGCACCACAATCAATCAATCAATCAATTGATCAATCAAAAAAGTAAAGAAAGAACCTGTCAACACTGTTTTCATCAAACTGTTACTACAGTTCAGCGATTACCTTGTTTAGGGCTTACAAAGCAGAGGTTCTGTGTTCAGGAACAGTGTCCAACAGACAAAGATGCAGGGCAATGGACATGCCATTCCCTCTCAGGACGGTTAAAACCTCTGGCTGCAAGGCACACCAGGGAAGGGCATGTGGTAACTTGTGTACTTAGGAGAAAGGAGGAACAGTGAATGTGTGTGTGTGTGTGTGTATACACACTTACACACGGTGTACTTACATATCATTAAAGACCATGGGGGGGGGTCACAGAAACGGTTCTCACGGGCAGAGTGCTGGGAGGAGGCAGGGACAGGCGCTATGGGAAGGAGGCTCCAAGGTACAGAGACTTTTGTACTCTGAACTATGGAAGCATTCTGAAGGCTGATGACTTTACAAATAATAAAATGAAACCGTCTAGCTTAGAAACCACACTTAATTCTCTAATGATAATGATGGTGACCTCAAGGCGGGGAATGAAGAGATGACTGTCTGAGGGACAGCTTCGTGGACCGTCAGTGTGGGGCCTGCCTGGCATGAAGGAAAAGGACATAAATGGGCAAGTGTGGGGTTAGTATGTGCCGAGGAGGAGAAGAGTGGGCAATTCATGGGCCAAAGGAAGACCTGAAGTCTACACCTCAGCATCGCTGTTCTGAGAGGGTAGCATGTGC